TAACAATCTTAATCAAGAAAATAAATTTGATTATTTCAAGACTAAAGGCAATCAAGAACATTTAAAAGATTTATAAACCAGCATCATTATTCTGAAATTATCATCATCAAAAATAAAAAAAGAAAAGCAGTTATTTTGCTAAATACTTGAAGAAACTAAACAATTCTCAGATAAACTTCATCTCATTCAAAAATATAATGAAAATATATAATCAAGAACATATAGGAAATTTAATAGTCATTTCTAAAATCAAATTCAAATTTTTGAATAATTGCAATGGACAACAGCTAATTTATAAAAAAATGAAAAAGAGTCATTTAAAGATTACTTTAATAGAATAGAAACCGATATATATTTAGTAAAAAATGAAAAAGATGATAGCTATATATAATAAAAAACAAATGTTTGCGATTTTCTCAATTTTTTTTAGGGAGAAATAAAATAAAAATTAGTCTAGTCTAAATGTGTGATCTCAAAAATTTAGTTTGATTAAGAATATCTGATCAAATAAATTAAAAAAATATATCTCTCTGAAGATGAGGAAGAAGAGTAAGAAGATAAAGATGATGTAGAATCAAATCAACAAGGATTATTTTAGTTTTTGAATCAAAAGTATAAAGATTATAAAAACAATGACGAATGGAAAATTAAATAGGGTCTAGTTTTAACTATAATTTAAATTTCATCGAATTGCTTCGCAGATAGAATTATCTAATTTTGTTAATAAATTCTAATTGAATTATGGGTTTTAGAAAAAGATTAAAGAGTTAGAAATTTATTAAAAAATGAAACCTTAATGCATTTGTCAATGTAAATTTTGTAGAAAGATTGGTAGACTCAAAAAAATAGAATTGCAGGAGAAATGCAAAAAATGCTGAGTCGAATCGATTTGTTGCAAGAATAAATTGCCCAAGAAGCAAATGAGAACAAACGAGAGATATAATTGAAAGAAATGGATAAAACAACTGAGCAATTAGATGAATATATTCAAAATATCAGTGAAATGGGATAATAGCTTAAATTGATAACAGACTTCGTTAATCATATCAGAAAAAGTTTGACAAGAGTCGAGGGAAAAATAAATGAGATAAAGAAATAACTAAATAGCTTGAGTTATGACATAAAATTTCTGAGAGGAAAATCTGTTGAAGAGCTTTTTGATATTAGAAAATCCAAAGTATTGAAAGAAGCAGCAAATTAAAATGTTAGGTCTATATATGTGCCATTATAAACATTGGAGATATTTCATAAATTAGATAAAGTGGAAAAGAATGAATAAAAGAGTATTTTGATGAATTTGGAAAATTTATATGATAAAAATGGAGATGTTAATGAGTTTTTATTAGATGGTAAAGAAACAGTATTATTAATTCATGGCGTAGCTGGATCAGGCAAAAGTACTGCAGCTAAGAAAATAGAAGAATTTATTTGGAAATTACATGATAATAATTAAAAAATTGGCAATAAACTGCTAATACCAATTTATATTTCATTACCCTCTTTAAAAAATCCTGTGTTTTAAGCAGTAGAGGAAGCACTTCATCAAGATCATTATGGTTTTGATCTGCTATAATTGAAAGAATGTAAAGAGATGTTAGAAAAGAAAGATTTCCGATTTCTATTGATAATGGACAGCTATGATGAGATGAAGTTAGAAAATATTTAGAAAAATTTATATATTAATAATAAACTGAAATAGAATTGGTCAAACCCACTTGTTATTTTTACTACAAGAAGTGAAATTTTTACAAGTTGTAATTATTCTCTATGGTTTGAACCTGAAGAGAAGGAAAAGTTAAAAGAAATCAAACTTTAGAAGTTTGATTCTAAATAAATGCAATAATATCTAGAAAAATTTACAATTTAAAGTGTTAAAATGTAGATTTTTGAAATTTATGAATGGTAAACACAAATGTCAAAAAGAGGAGTGATTGATATCAAAGAATTTGAAATTTTTTGGGAAAAATTGTAATAATTTCTAAAAATAGAAATATCAGTGATGAAAGGGGAGAATCTATTGAATTAACAATAAATAGATCAAATTTAATCGTTTTTGAAGAATGATGAGTTTATATCTATAAAAAATAATGATGCTTTAAGAAGTCTGAGCATAAATCTCCAAAAACTGTGGAGCGTAGAAAAGTACAACCAAATGATAAGGTAAATCAATTTAAATAAATTGATCAAAACTCCTTATATGATGGAAATATTAGTTTAAGTGTTGCCTGAAATGCTTGTTAAGGCAATTGATATAAATAATTTGAAATAAAATTTTCTAAATAATTT